TAAAGGGACTGAATGGCCCTTAAAAGAAAGCCACCCACCCCATACTCCTGGAGCGTCCCCCACAGGGTGCCCCTGGGGACACGGTCATAAGCCTTCTCCAAATCCACAAAGCACATGTGGATTGGTTGGGCAAACTCCCATGCCCCCTCCATCACCCTTGCAAGGGTATAGAGCTGGTCCACAGTTCCACGGCCAGGACGAAAACCACATTGCTCCTCCTCTATCTGAGATTCAACTATCGATCGGACCCTCCTCTCCAGTACCTTGGAGTAGACCTTTCCAGGAAGGCTGAGGAGTGTGATCCCCCTATAGTTGGAACACACCCTCAGGTCACCCTTCTTAAAGATGGGGACCACCACCCCGGTCTGCCACTCCCTAGGAACTGCCCCCGATGACCACGCAATGTTGTAGAGACGTGTCAACCATGACAGCCCTACAACATCCATAGCCTTGAGATACCCAGGACGAACCTCATCCGCCCCCGGGGCTCCGCCGCTGTGTAGTTGTTTGACTACCTCAGCAACTTCTGCCCCCGAGATCGGACAGTCCATCCCCAGGCCTCCCAGCTCTGGTTCCTCCTCGGAATGCGCATTGGTGGGATTGAGGAGCTCCTCAAAGTATTCCTTCCACCGTCCGACTATAGCCTGAGTTGACGTCAGCAGCTCCCCATCCCCACTGTAAACAGTGTGAGCGAGTTGCTGCCTTCCTCTCCTGAGGCGCCGGACAGTTTGCCAGAACCTCTTTGGAGCCGATCGATAGTCTTTCTCCATGGCCTCACCAAACTCCTCCCACGCCCGAGATTTTGCCTCAGCAACTGCCACTGCTGCACCCCGCTTGGCTATCCGGTACCTGTCTGCTGCCTCCGGAGACCCACTGCCCAGCCACGCCCTGTAGGCCTCCTTCTTCAGCTTGACGGCTCCCCGAACCTCTGGTGTCCACCAGCGGGTACGGGGGTTGCCAGAAATTTCCTCCTTGAACCGTCACCTTATCGTGGTGGAGGAGTTTGAGTGCCCTAATGATCCTAGGAGCTATGTTGTCTGGGGCACTTAGTGCCCCTGGTAGGGTCTCCCATGACAAATTGGTCTTAAGTGAAGGGTGAGACAAAGAACGGTTCGAAGGATCTTTCATGGCGGTTAAAACGAAGAGTCGGAGTTCCCGGCCCGGAGGGTTACCGGGGTCCCACCCTGGAGCCAGGCCTGGGGTTGGGGCCCGTGAGCGAGCGCCTGGTGGCCGGGCTTTCGCCCATGGGGCCCGGCCGGGCCCAGCCCGAACCGGATACATGGGCTCGTCCAACTGTGGACCCACCACCCGCAGGAGGAACATGAAGGGTCCGGTGCAATGTGAATCGGGTGGCAGACCAAGGCGGGAGCCTTGGCGGTCCAATCCCCGGACAAGAAAACTAGAAATTTAAATGTAATAGGGTAAAACCCAGTGCATTTAACATAATGCTGCACTTTAGAAAATGGGTTGAAATATAACATGTTGGTGGAGCTGGGTTCCGACTATCGGCTTGTGGAGCTCTCGGGAGACCGATGTTTTCCACTCGGTTCTCCCCTCCCCGCAGCTCAGCGCATCTCTGTCTGATCACGGCTCCTGTCCACTGCGCGGGCTGCCGGGTTGTGGAGCTCTGGGATGGAAACCTTTCCACCCGGTTCTCCCCAGCGGCAGCTCTGCGCATCACAGATCGCAGCGGCGCTTGTCTGCTGTGCGGCTGCCAGCTTGTGAAGGTCTCGGAGACCTCTGTGTTCCACCCGGTTTTACCCAGCAGTCAGCTCGGCGTATCTCTGACTCAGAAGCTCTGGTGTTGTGCACAGTTAACTCCGATTGTAGCTAGGTTGCTACCTCCGTTAGCTTAGCTCCCACCTCCGCGTTAGCTTTGGGTTAGCTTCAGGTTAGCTTGTAGCTAGTTCGACCGGGTGTCGTCAGTTGATCCCAGCCTTACAGCCCCACCCTCAGCTCCTCCTCTCTTCCCATTTGTGGAATTGTCTGGGCTTGACGGAACCTGTGACACGATCAAAATGGCGGTGGTGGCCACCTCCCATTTGGCCTCAAAAATGTGTTATTGGATCCTATGGAAATGAATTGTCCAGTATATATGTCGATAAGTCCAACCCACAATATGCAACTAAATAGTATCTTTCCAATATTACTTGTGCCGTGTCCTGCTTCTTCTACTGTCCCCAGTCCCTTCCATGTCGTCCCCTCCTCTGTGTGTCCTTGTCTTTCTGGCTCCTCAGCATTTGGATCATTTCCAGCTCCTCCCTGTGTCTCTCCACTGTTTTCCCCCAGGTTTCAGTCTTCAGTCATTCTCAGCTCCTCATCCCTAGGTTAATTCCCTGGTGTTTTCCCTAATGGCATCAGTTATTTTTCTCAGTTGTTTTTAATAATTTTTGTAGTTTTCTCCTAGTTTAGTTTATCTTCTTTTGTTTCATTTCATGTTTTCTTTATTTTTTCTAGCTCCTCTAGTGTATCTTTGTTATCTTCCTGCTCCTTGAGATATTCTAGTGTTTTTAGTTGACTTTTATTACAAGAATCTGTCTCCTCTGTGTATTTGTTTATTGTTTATTTATTTATTATTTAGTGTGTGTGTGTGTGTGTGTGTGTGTGGGGGGGGGGGGGGGGGGGGGGTCCCCAGCTCTACCTTAGGGTTTTTTCCACCAAACTGATGCCAGAGTCAGTTCAGTGCTGGAGCCAGTGCCAGTTCTTTGCCTGTTTTAAACTGGTGCTTTGAAAGAACCGTTTCCTTTCCGTGCTGCCCTGATGTCCATCAAGTGGCACACCTACAAACACCTACATGAGGACAAAGCATGTCATTCTTGACTTCTGATTTACAACATGTAAAAATTGATCTATACAAATTGTATTTATAACTTCAAAAAGGAAATTCCTTCATTGTCCCTCAGTGCGAAATTTTTGGCACCAGACTAATTTAATATTCATGTTGCCTTCACCGGCATATTTTATCCTCAAATGTTGTTGAGTGGGCCCAGTCTAGAGTTTTCATATTTTAGCTTGTTTTAGAATGAAAATATGCAGTAGAGACATTATACTTCTACGTAAACATTATGGCTGTTTTTACAAAATATATAAAAAATTGTCGACCATTTGTGAATGTTGATACTTTATTTCTATAGGTCAGCCGGCCATCCTCAACTGTCAGTGAAGACAAACACGGTAAATTATCTCAGATCGATCGATCTCTCAGATCTATCTATCTATCTATCTATCTATCTATCTATCTATCTATCTATCTATCTGAGAGATCGATCAATCTCTCAGATAGATCGATCAATCTCTCAGATAGATCGATCAATCTCTCAGATAGATCGATCAATCTCTCAGATAGATCGATCAATCTCTCAGATAGATAGATAGATAGATAGATAGATAGATAGATAGATAGATAGATAGATAGATAGATAGATAGATAGATAGATAGATAGATAGATAGATAGATAGATAGATAGATAGATAGATAGATAGATAGATAGATAGATGGATGGATGGATGGATGGATGGATGGATAGATAGATAGATAGATCGATCTCTCAGATAGATAGATAGATAGATAGATAGATAGATAGATAGATAGATAGATAGATAGATAGATAGATAGATAGATAGATAGATGGATGGATGGATGGATGGATGGATGGATAGATAGATAGATAGATAGATAGATAGATAGATAGATAGATAGATAGATAGATAGATAGATAGATAGATAGATAGATAGATAGATAGATAGATAGATAGATAGATAGATAGATAGATAGATAGATAGATAGATAGATAGATAGATAGATCTGAGAGATCGATCGATCTATCTATCTATCGATCTATCTGAGAGATTGATCGATCAATCTCTCAGATAGATCGATAGATAGATAGATAGATAGATAGATAGATAGATAGATAGATAGATAGATAGATAGATAGATAGATAGATAGATAGACAGACAGACAGACAGACAGACAGACAGATAGATGATAGATAGATAGATAGATAGATAGATAGATAGATAGATAGATAGATAGATAGATAGATAGATAGATAGATAGATAGATAGATAGATAGATAGATCTGAGAGATCGATCGATCTATCTATCTATCGATCTATCTGAGAGATTGATCGATCAATCTCTCAGATAGATCGATAGATAGATAGATAGATAGATAGATAGATAGATAGATAGATAGATAGATAGATAGATAGATAGATAGATAGATAGATAGATAGATAGATAGATAGATAGATAGATAGATAGATAGATAGATAGATAGATAGATAGATAGATAGATAGATAGATAGATAGACAGACAGACAGACAGACAGACAGACAGATAGATGATAGATAGATAGATAGATAGATAGATAGATAGATAGATAGATAGATAGATAGATAGATAGATAGATAGATAGATAGATAGATAGATAGATAGATCTCTCAGATCTATCTATCTATCTATCTATCTATCTGTCTGTCTGTCTGTCTAGTTTTTTTAAACAAATCTTAGAGGGATAACCGTAAAACTAACATTTTTTTTTAATGTAAAAAGGAAAGAAAAGACTGGATTCTCAGAGGGAGTCATGCACGGTACAACCATCAGCAAAACGACATTGTGTGCCTGCATCAACATCCCTCAAAGGTACCTGTGGTGGAAAAATAAAACAATATAAAATTAAAAAATGGACTATATTTTTTTTATTTTTTTAAAGCAGTTCAACAACCTCAGTCAAAAACCTCTGAATTTGGTGAAGCTGGTATTTTCTCTTTTTTTTCTACAGAAAAAAAGATACTGTCTGATGTAGAACAAATCATGGAAGGTACCCACACCAAATTAGAACACCGAGATGAAACAGAGCTCAATGAGTTTCTGAAGTAAGTCTATTTCCTGCCATTTTTACAAAGAGACCTGTTAGTTTTGTTTTCAAAAGTGTTTACAGTTTTTTACAGACGTTAGGACCCATTTCTCAATACTAATGTCACTTTTGCTAGACACTTCACACAGTTCTCCTAACTGAGTTTCAGCTTGGCAAAACAGTTCATTTCACATTCAAAATGCACTACAACCACCAAAACACTTCATTCAGGTCTCAAATAAACACATTCCTCCAGAACACTAGCAAAGGTTGACAGCCGACAAACACACTCCGTCACCCACAAAACAAAGACCTAAAAAACACTAACAACATGTAGCGTTACATTTTCTTGTGTAAAACAAGGACACATCTCTGTTCATACTTCCAATAGATGTTACTGGAATGAATCAGACATGATGCAGAATTAGTCAATATTTCATGTTGTTCAATTATTTTTAATGTAGAGCGTTGCAGATTCGGCTGCACTCTCTGACCAGCCTCTCTCATTGAGAGACCATGCTTTACTGCATGATCAATTACAGTAGCTCTGATCTCATCTGAGACTCCAGCTTTAGATCTTCCTCTTATTCTTCTGCCACCACGCATACGTACTCCTCGCCCTCTCCCATCCTCTATTCTTCCTCTTTCAGCCACTTCTCAATTTCTGGCTGGGTCCATGTTTACATCACAACACAAACCTATTCAGCAGGTGACTACTTTTATAATGACATTGAAAGTGTAACACCTGTGCAGCTGTTCATCTACAATTAGAGTCAGCTGTGGCTGGTTAAACTGCATTTATGTTTCAGTAACATGTTGCTGTTGGATTCTGCTGTCATATTCAGTTTTGCAGTATGTTATTGTTTTGAACATAAGTTGTACAGTTTTGTGAACAGTATGTAAGCAAGTGCAAAATGTCCTGTTAGTACAACGAGTTTTGGCAGTTGTTGTGTCTGAGTGAGAAGGGACTTCATGACATTTGAGAGATGTAGTCACTCAATGCATTTTGTGCCAAAGCAATGATAATTGATCCTCAGTTTGGCCCACATAGACTTCTCTTGTGCACACTGTATGTAGAGTTTTGCAAATGTGACCTAAGTATTGAGAAATGGGTCCTAACATCTGTAAAAAACTGTAATAACAACAGTTTAAAGCACAGAATTCAAACTGCCACATGAAGTCAGATTGGAATGTAACATTAGATTCAAAATCATTTTATTGCCATTGCACATTTGTACAACCAAATTGAATTTGCGTTCAGTAAAGACAGCTCACGTAAGGAGGTAGTAAAATATAAGTTAAATAAAAAAACAAGGCTAAATAGATGTCACAAACACGTGTGTGTGTGTGTGTGTGTGTGTGTGTGTGTGTGTGTGTGTGTGTGTGTGTGTGTGTGTGTGTGTGTGTGTGTGTGTGTGTGTGTGCGCATGTAGTTTGCTGGCCAAGGAAAAAAAGAATTGCCACCAAAATAAAATCTCACACTTGAATACTTCTTTGGACCTCCTTTAGCTTTGATTACGACACACATTCGCTTTGGCGTTCTTTCGATAAGCTTCTGCAACGTCACCAGATTTATTTCCATCACGTGGTGCATAAATGTTTCACCAAGATCTGCCATTGAAGATGGTAGAGTCTGACCGCTGCACAGAACCTTCTCCAGCACATCACAAAGATTCTCAATGGTGGTTCTCAATCCAATGTTAGTTGCTTCTGCAATCTCCAGGGGCCTCACTTATCAAGCTTGCTTACACACAAAACTGGGTCGGAAAACTGCATAAGCAACTTTCCATGCAAACTTTGGGATTAATGAAAGAAAACTTAGCGGAAAAATGTGCACAACTTTAAGTTGACTAAGGACCTGGCTTACGCACGTGTTGGACATGGAGAGCAGCTGCAGTGCTGCTGCTGAGAAGGATAAAAGTATGAAATCCTGCAGCATTATCACTTGTACCGCTTCGTTTTCACACAGAGCAAGACCCCCCCCCACACACACACACACACACACGCGCGCGCGCGCACACACACACACACACATGCACACTCACACACACATATGCACGTGCGGTGTTTCTGATTTATGAAGCGGAGACTGCGTGCAGCTGTGCGTACTCCATGTTTGATAGATCACAAACCTACTTGGCGTAAGTACAGTTTTAGTAAGGATTCTACGCAATGTTTGATAAATGAGACCGCTGATCATTACCGTTTGATGCATGCCATTGATTTGACGCTTCTCAAACAGACTTACATCTTTTAAAATTCAATTAAACTCAAATTCAAAGATACTTTATTAATCCCAGAGGGAAATTAGAGTTTCAGTCCACACAATTCAGAGATCAGACATACATGGGCAACGACACATGACAAGAATTGGTGACTGTGGTCATTCGCAACCCTGAGTCGCTCTACCTCAGTAGAGATCAGAGGGTTACTTGAGGATTGGTTCAGGTGGAGGAAAAAAAAGGCACTTCAGAGTTACCCTCCACAGAGAGGGCAGCTTTGCTCTGCAAAAAACACCTCAAACAGAAATGCAACAGTCTTAAGACATCACAAAACATAAGTATCCACTAGGTGGGGTGGTGGGTTTGGGACTCTCGACACGTCAGTGGCTGCAGCCATGATAAGCAGCGCATGTCACCACAGTCTGGACAGGGGAGGGAGGTCGTTGGGGTTTGGAGGGCACAGTGACTCCTGGAACGATTTGGCGGCCTTCACAGCCCGCAGTCCCGCCCAGGCTGGGATAGGGAGACAGAGTTGCCATAGCGACAGCAGCATTCCACATTTCTTCTAAGGGGGGAGTATTCGTTGCAGCCTCACAGGCTCAAGGGCACCAGATTCAGATTAGAAATTGTTTTGGGGCCAGACAGAGATAATTTCCTCTCTGTCTTAAAGTTCCGTTTGCCCTCAACCTCTCAAAATCCCAATAATGGTCTAAATTAATCTATCCCACTCTGTGCCGATTCGTCCACTCGCTTCATGATGGCATCCATCTTTTGTGCCAATGCATGAATCTCAGCCAAAGTTCCAAGCTTACGACTCATCTCGACAATTATATGAGTCTGTGCATTCACAGTGCGGTGTAATCCATCCCTGAGCTCGGGGAGAGCGCCAATATTCCTCGACAGCTTAATAATTTTCTGGTAAGCCAGGAAGCCTCCTAGGCCAAAGAACAGGAAACCTGACACCAACACCACAAATATCCAGACGTCTTCAGAATCCTCTACAGACAGTTGAGATAGGCAAATCAGGTTCCACTGTTTCCAGGAGTCCATGATATGCCCAGCTAGCTCTGTCCCAGAGGGGCACCCGGGAGCCCCTTCTCCCGTTCTCATCGTTGACAAAATTTTGTCAATCGCGTTAGGTGACCAACTGACCAGGTCCATTTTACTAATTTCAGTTTCCAGTTTCCAGAAAAAAATGCAGAAGCAGCCGTGCACCCAGAGACAGACAAAGAGCCTTGGGATAAGATAGAGAGGAGAGGAGGAAAAAAGCATCTATTCTCTCCAAGAGCCGGAAGAAGACCATCAGATGTGTCTTTCTACATGAGAAGCAACTCATTGCACCAGTTGGGGTTAAAGAACTTGTTGCTAGATGAAATATAATCGCCCATGCAGTAATTATCCAATAGGAGGCCCTTTCATTATCAGACCTTCAAAATCCAGCTGCGTACTTTTAACACGGAGATAAAAAAAAGGCAAGAGAAGCATTTTTCTCAAAAGTCATCAATTATAATATAAACAATTCCCTTGTCCTGTTTACTACTGCCGAGAGGCTAGCTAATCTCCCAGCACAGTTAGCCCCGGACTTCATATCTCAGACCAAATGTGATGAGTTTGCATCCTTCTTCAATGAAAAAAATCACAAACATTAAGTTAGCCATTCATTCCTCTAAATCAAGTAACAGAAACAGACCACTGACACAGTCACACAGCAACAACCTGGCTCGAACTTTTACCCTGAGTAGTACTAAAACACCGACTGACATGGTAAAGGCCCTAAACTCCTCTACCTGCTGTCTGGACAGCCTGCCTACAAACTTCTTTAAAACTGTTTTTAGTTGCCTAAAAGCTGAGGTACAGGAAATTGTTAACTGCTCTTCAATGTCAGGAATTTTTCCTAAATCACTGAAAACTGCTGCTGTGAAACCCCTTCTAAAGAAGAGAAAACTAGATCCTCAGTGTTAAACAACTACTGACTGATCTCTAATCTCCCTCTGATTGGAAAAATCATTGAAAAGGCGGTGATGATCCAAATAAACAACTATTTAGAGTTGAATAACATTATGGGCGGTCTTCAGTCAGGCTTTAGACAGCACCACAGCACAAAAACTGCACTGATCAAGATATTTAACAACATTTGCCTCAACACTGATTCAGGTAAAGCATCTGTCCCGATGATGCTTGACCTCAGTGCAGCTTTGATACTGTGGACCATAACATCCTTCTGGACAGACTCACAAACTGGGTGGGACTATCAGGCACAGTGCTTGGCTGGCCCCAATCCTATCTCAAAGACAGGGGCTATGTTGTCTCTAGTAGGGATTACCAATCAAAGCAGATCACCATGGCATGTGGGGTCCCCCAAGGCTCAATTCTAGGACCACGACTCTTTAATCTGTACATGCTCTCCCTGGGTCAGGTCATACTTAATAACAACATCGCCTATCATAGCTATGCTGATGACACCCAGATCGACCTAGCCCTATCACCTAGTGACTGTCGTTTACTGGACTCACTCAGTCAGTGCCTAGAGCAAGTAAATGACTGGATGCAGTCAAACTTGCTTCAACTAAACAAAGACAAGACTGAAGTTATTGTTTTGGGCAACAAGTAGGATAGAATGGATGTTATTGCTCAGCTGAACTCCAGGGGAATAAAGACAAAGACCCAGGTTAGAAATCTTGGTGTTATCATTGACCTGGTTACCTACCGATGACTTTGGTTATAGGTTCAAGGATGCACCAGGACAATTGAGGGATTCCTATTAAAAATATACGATTTTTATGAAGCGTTAAATGAGAAAGCATGGTTCACCCAAGGGGGTTTGGTGCAAGTTGAGAACAATTTGTCCAAATGATAGTAGAAAACAGGACTCCGATCCTTTTCTCCGTGATTGCAGCAGAGGAACCAGATGCCCCCTGCAATGGGCTCATTCCATGTGGCGTCGTCAGACTATTCTGTTTTAGAATATCATTCTAATTGTTAAACCTTAGATTCAGGTGGTGCAATATGGCTTTAGCCATGGATATGGAACAATAAATTAGGTCTCATGCCATTATCTGAAAATAACTGTTTCACATATTTTAAATGCTTTACAGGAAGAAAATCGTGGATCTGCAGATAGAGAAGAGAGAAATGGTTGGTGTTTTTGGAAGAACTGGAGCTGGAAAGAGCTCTTTGATAAATGCTGTCATTGGGGAGAAGAATCTTTTACCAGCTGGGGGCATCAACGCATGCACCTCAGTCATGATTAAAGTGGAAGCTAATGAGATCAACAAATATGAGGCAGAGATTGAATTTATTTCAGAAGAGGTAAAAAGTCTTTTGAAGACCTTTTTATTCTGATTTGATGCCAGTAAAAGATCACAGTGCTATTTGAAATAATATAACATACAGGACTTGTTGTACTGACCAATTTAATTTGGTGTTTTTAGGATTGGAATTATGACCTGTGGTCAATGCTTCAATTTCTTGGTCAAGATAAGGAGGATGATCAGGACACCAATGACAAGCTGTCAGCTCTTTATGGAAAAGAATGGAAAGCTCTGTATTTAAATCACCAGAAAGAAAAATCCCTTAGAAACTTCAAGAATAGCAAATGCTTGAAGGAAATTCCTGAATTTTTCAAATCCGAAAAGAAGAGGCTGGATGGTGAAACTGTAAGTTTGGTGTTTATGTTACAGCTTTTAAATTATTATTTTAGTCCAAAGAAATTAGAAAGAAATATTCATGTCTTGTATTTTAATGTGCAGAAAACAACACTGTTCTAGTGTTCAGAGTATGGAGGATAATTATTACACACCCTTTAGCAGAGTTATTCCGTCTTTATTTCAACACACATTATCTTGCTAAATGTATTGAACAGATATTTGACATTTTTATAATCGATGTGTAACCATTGTGTTTATTTGTTGCAGGCTAAAGAGCTATCTGATAAAATTAAAAGGTACGCAAGAAATGACCCACAATCTGTAGATAATGGAGGAAGGTTGTTTTGGCCACTGGTGAAGTGTGTGACCGTCAGGGTTCCATACAATGAACACAATGACTTCCTCCAACATGTCACACTCGTGGACCTTCCAGGGACTGGAGACTGTAACAAGGGCAGAGACACAATGTGGAAAGGAGTATGTATCTCTTGTACTGTTGTTCTGAAACTGTAATGTTTTAAACTCAGTAACCACATCTAATCATGCAAATGCTGCCATTTCAGATTGTAGAATCTTGTTCTACTGTCTGGATTGTTACTGAAATCACCCGAGCAGTGTCAGAGAAAGAAGCCTGGGATATTCTCAAAGGTGTTGTGAGCAACATTGGAAATGGTGGCCAGTGTAAAACAATCCACTTCATCTGCACAAAGTCTGACATGTATGAAGATTTTGAATACCAGTAAGTGAGTTCAGATGGTCCAAGTGAATAGCTGGAGAAAATATTGAAGGACATCATCAAATATGTTGGTGAAAGCTCAGCAAAATGTTTACAATGCCTTGAGAAACACTAAAAGACAGAAATGATCAAAGTTATTATTCCAAGGTCAAATGTTTATTTCTAGGTAAGGTCAAATGTCATTAAGTTAGTCTAGAAAAATCCCAAATGACAACATATTTTTTATAGTTTCCAGGTATAATTATTTTGCCTATTAGCCAACAATAAGCCCAGGCTTAGGCAAAAACAAGAAGGTAAGCTAAAGCTGGCGTTGTGGCCAAATTCACTGAAGGTTTGAAAGCCATCAGTTTTATTTGTTCTTGTTTTTGTTTAACAGTAGAAACATATTACAAGTCTACTTTCTATCTAAATCTTTAAGTAATTTATTTATTTCACATAGACTTGATTAGTTGATTTAAATTGGGTTTGGTTTAGGTTCAAAATAAGACATTGCTGGATGATTTTGAGTCAAAACTTTGTAAGAAATAAATTGAATATAATTTTAAGAACTGAAGTCTGGTGTGTGTGCAAAACACAAACCCACCTGTTGTCATCTACGGTCTTTTGTTGGAACTATTTAATTTTGGATGGTAAAAGGCCGCGACAGGTGGTTTTCCAAGGGCACTACTCAGAATAACTTGGATTAGTGCAGCTCAGCCCGACCACCATTTCCAATAGTACATTTTTATATTTCCCCTCTACTTCTCCCCAATCTTTAGACCCTGTTTGGTTGAGGTTCTAAGTTTGAGGGTGGCAAGGCTGAGTTGGGTCAGCATTGTGACTGCTTGGCAAGGGGGGCGGAGTCACTGGTTGCTCCGGAGTTCTCTGCCTAATGCTTCACGGCCTGCAGCCATTTCCTGATTCAGAGTCAGACAAAAAGCCTTAAAACTGAGCAGAACGTCCAGCAATACCACCATTTTTGTGTCGAGTCATGTATCTGTGGAGCAAACAGGTTACCTCATGCTGTTTACTGATCATCTTGTGCTATTTATGTGTGAAGTAAAGACCCCAACTGTTACCGGCCACTTTTTCAAACTTTTCTCTACTAACCTCTTCCTTTTCTCCTTGCTTCCGTCTGCGATCTTCTTTTGTCCATCTGTTACTCCAAGATCACCCGAGACACGCCGAGGATTTATCTTCCACTTTGTTTAGCAGCGTGCTGGCTAGGAGCCAATTGCTGATTCTGACCCAAGCACCTCCAGCGATGTTTATCCGATCCTGGATCCCTGATTCCTCCACCTCACTCAGCATGGCTCTATTACATACACTCTCTACTAGCAATAAGTCCTTCCTGCTCAATGATCTAATTCTCTCTAAAAACCAGGATTTTCTGTTTCTGACCAAAGTTTGGCAGCAGACATTGATTGAACTTAGCTCGAGTGGTTATTCTTTCCTTAGCCAGCCCTGGGGTTCTGGCTGAGGTAGAGGCATAGCTGTTTTTTTCAGAGACCATATTTTATTCAGTTCTACAACACCTTGTCAATTAGCTTCCTTTGAACCACTGCTGATTAAAGTTAGGCGTAAGGACCAGTTCTACTGTGCTGTGGTTTATCATCCACCGTGTCCCAACAGTTCTGTCCTTCAGGAATTTAGTGACTTTTTATTAGAGCTGAACGATCGTTTTTGGACCGAAATTGTGATTTCAAACAATGCGACCACATGACCGTCAAAGCTGTGGTTTTTGTAGCGCTCCTGACTGACCCAGGATCTGTTGTCAACTACTTTAGACATCCGGGGTTTTCCTGTGTTACAGTGGCAACCATCGACATATAAATATTGGACAATGGGTTTCCACAGGCTCCAATAACACGTTTTTGAAGAAAAATGGGAAGTGGCCACCACCACCGTTTTGACCGTGTCACAGGTTCTGTCAAGCCCAGACAATTCCACAAAAGGGAAGAGAGGTGGAGCTGAGGGTGGGGCTGCAAGGCTGGGATCAATTGACGACACCCGGTCAAACTAGCTACAAGCTAACCCAAAGCTAACGCGGAGGTGGGAGCTAAGCTAATGGAGGTAGCAACCTAGCTACAACCGGAGTTAACTGTGCACAACACCAGAGCTTCTGAGTCAGAGATACACCGGGCTGACCGCTGGGTAAAATCGGGTGGAACACAGAGGTCTCCCGAGAGCTCCACAACCCGGCAGCCGCACAGCAGACAAGCGCTGCTGCGATCTGAGATGCGCAGAGCTGCGGGGAGGGGAGAACCGGGTGGAAAACAGAGGTCTCCCGAGAGCTCCACAAGCCGATAGTAGTAGCCCAGCTCCACCAACATGTTATATTTCAACCCATTTTCTAAAGTGCAGCATTATGTTAAATGCACTGGGTTTTACCCTATTACATTTAAATTTCATGGTTGAACAGTACATGTTAAAATCTAAGCTCAGCTCGGCAGTGACCTAAAATACATAAATATAATTTTACTTACCGAAAAAATGAAGTGGAGACTCCTTGGACGCTCTCTTAGTGCAATTAATGCCACAGCAAGTCATTTTTGTCCAACAATTGCACAAAAAGTATCCAAAAAAGAATACACAAACACAGAGACTCAAAATCCCGGAACAGTTTCCAGGCCAGACGGAGGCGCCATGGACGTAATTTTGGGGGGGACAGGGGGGACATGTCCCCCCACTTTTTCCAAAGTCAAGTTTTGACCCCTACACTTTTTACCATCCAAAAACAATATTACGCTACATTAAATTGACACTGGTTGAGCTCTAGGACCATACGGAAAACAACCGTTTGTGTTGAAGCCTGTTTCCCAATAGAGCATACTGTAAAGATAATATTGTCTGATGAAAAGCATAAAATCCTCGGACATATTGACTGACCTGTGTTGTGAACCTAAATTAGGCTCTGCCAATTATGTAGGACTATGGTTTATGCTCTTTTATGAAAGAGGAACCATTCTACATATTACTTTGTGATATTAATTTTATTAAATTAATAACCAAATTGTATAGTTTTATGAAGACTCAAAGGTTGTTTTCATCGATAAACTGTCGATAATATCCGTGTGTCTGTGTTTCAGTTCAATGAAGAGACAAGTTGAAAGTTAAAAGATTTAATTCTTCAAATTAAACTAGTGATTTTGAAATGACAAGCATATGAAACAACAATCAACATTGGCAACTTTGTTGAACAATCTTTAACAGTTGATATTGTAAACTTGCTCAAATAGACGTTCTGTTGGAGGTGCTGAAGATTGAGAGTGATATGACGTGATTATGGATGCGTGTGTGCAACATGTAGTGAGAATTGAAAATGAGGTGAGATGAATGCATGTGTGCATCTGATTTGCTTCAGGAAGAAACAGGTGTCTGAGTGAAAGATGATGGTTTGAATAAACTTAGGTTTTGTTGGAAAAGATGCATCAAAATGCTATCTGTCGTGGAATGCCGTATTTGGACCCTCTGTTGGACCCGGGACGTCACCTTAGGATGATGTTTCATCCAGGGCACCTTGGCTGGCAAAGAAGACAAAAATGCGCCACGAACCGGTCCAGAGTTGTCCTCAGTACACGTTGATGGTAAAGCGTTTGCAGATGCGCTTTCTTAAGTTTAGTTTACTCAGAAATCAAAGACTCTGGACGAGTCTGCGTTAGCGATTGTAATTCAGCTATTCCTGTCTGTCTTGGCAGGAACAGCGTGAGGGGGGGGGGAATGAGCCGATAGGCTCCGTCCCCCCTTTAGCGTTTATTCAGGTCCTCTTTCTTCCGTTGTCGAGCACGAACTGAATCATAAGACTGAAACTTACCAAAAGCCTTTCTCTTCTCAAAGCAAAACGTGTGCGTCAGCAAATGTGTTTTGGAGTTTACTGTGAGAATCTGTGTGTGGGTGTGTGAGTGTGTGTGTGCGTGAAGGTCGTTAACAAACATCCTCAAACATTATTTAATCAAGTATGGATTCATTAATCCATTATAATTACCCAAAGCATAATAATCATTCATTTGATTAAAACACATTTATAATGAGCAAAATGATAATGATTAATCTTTATCATTAAAATAGAGAAAAGAAAGTTTATGACTTGTTATGACTACATTTCCTGGGAACACATCTTCTGGTAGACTGCAGGTGTTCAGATGTTATGGTTTCCTCCCAGACTCGCTGGCGTTCAGGTCTTAATCTGTGGGTGAAAGTTCTCAGCGACCCAGCTATTGACCCAGCCGAGTCCAACACCACCTTTGTGACAGAAAACCCATATTTCCTCACGTTACACCTGCTTCCTCTCATCAGTTGCCAAAATTAAATAAACTTCCTGAACACCACAAACAAATCATCAAATGATTCAAATGGTTCGATTCATTAAATTCCTCAATATATTTTTTACTGATTTGAAACTTTGTTTAATGTGCGGTCCACAGTCTGAACACATTTTACTGGTGCACTACATGGTAATCTAGGTGCTGTGGAGGAAAATAGAGAAACCAGCAAAGACAGAAACTACTGGAAAGGCAGATACGGCCTAGCGGGTAGCGCTTTCACGAGCAAGTGTGGTTTAGAAAATGTGATGGTTGTGAATGATTAAACTCCACAAACGGAAGGAAAATCCCCACCATCTTCTGGCACTCACAGAGAACAGTCGCTTCTGCTTTTGCTCCCTTATCTGTGTTTTTCCCAAGGCTCTTTTGTCCCATCTGCCTACAGAGCACTTATCTGCATTTCCTCTGGCATTCACTATTTTTCAGCATGGATTTAATTAATTGGTCATTCAACGCAATTGATAAGAGTTTTTCTACGATGAGAACGGAGGAGGGGGCTCGCGCTTGTCCTCACGGGACACATGCAGCGGGATATATGTTCGATTCCTGGAAGAAGTGGAATATCATCTGTCTCTCTCAGCTGTCCATTGAGGACGTCGAAGATATGTGGATATTTGGCCTGATGATCACTGGATTTCTTCTGATTGGAGTGGGAGGATATCTGGTTTTCCGAAAAATTGGGTTGACGGGAGCGATTGGAGG